ATGCATCGGCGATGCATCGGCGATGCGGCTCGACGTGGGGCTAGATTATCTCCACGCCGACGTCGCCGATGCGTCGCCGACGTCGCCAGTGCATCGCCGATGCATCGCCGATGTATCGGCCATGCGGCGAAATCCTCTGACCCCATCAACTCAGACCTCATCTAGGAGGCCTCTAGCCTAAGAGTACAAGGAATGACTTCTTAGAAGGCAGCGGGGCTTCTCAGACGCCCTCGCGCCTTCTGAGAAGGCCAGCCCCTTCTCACTCCCCCCCTTCGCTGGCCGCCGGAAGAGGGCAGAGAATTTAGAGGAGGAAAAGGTCGCCCATACTCACCGACCACCAAACCACCCCAACCCAATCCGAAGGCCCCAATTTGCCCTCCATTTCCAGTTGGGGGGGTCGGGGAACGTTGAGAAAACACACATGAAGCTCGTACCCCCCCCAACCCGAAATTCGGGTCTTCGGGTTGGGTTGGGGTGGTTTGGTAGGTAGTCACATACTGCTACCTTTCCCTCGCTCTTGCTTTTTTGGGCCTATGGGAGGCCCTCGTCGCCACCGCTGGATTCGCCGCGAAGTTCTGGTCAGAACGCACCCCAGGAGGGGTCCGGGGAGTAGCGGTATCGGTACCTGTTGGTTTCCCCAGAAGAAGAGAGGATGAGGCGAGATTAAGTGGCTTGGAGCCGTCTGGGGGTCCTCGTCCCTCCTTCGGGGACCCCACGGTGCGGTGAGCACACCGTGCGGTGAGTCAGTGTGGATCCGGGGTTACCGCGCAGTTTAGGGACTCGGGTCGTTCTCCGAGTACGGTAGGTTCGCGTCGTGTCGACCGGCGGCGACCTCGCCGCCAGCGTTCAATGTTGAACGCCGCGGGCGACCCAGAAACGATCGGCGATCGGCGCAGGTCGCCGCCCCCCCCCGCCAGACCTTGTCTGTGTTGGGCGGCTGGTTTTGGCCGTTGTTGTTGGCCACTTGTCAGGACCCCGCCCCTTAGTCAGCTTGAGTGATTGATGAAATCAGATCGGCTAAGCCCCGGCCCTCACCAAGACCCCTCTTCCCCCACTGGTCGCCCATATATCGCCCCCCCCGAAAAAAACCTCGCCGACCTTGGGGCCAGATCGGACGACCCGGTAAGACCTGGTCAGAGTTGCCCTACAGTGGCGGGGTGCCGACCTGTGAGGGCGTCGGAAGGAAGCGGAGGGAGGGGACGATGATTTGGCATCGCTCGGACGTGTGCATTTTCCTTCGGCGAGGACCATCGAAGAGCATCCTTGATCACCTGGCGAAAAAACCACGCACGAAACCAAAAAAAGCTCAGGGAATGCACGTCCGAGCGATGGCATGACGAAGGAGGGGGGGCACGGAGGGAGGACCCTTTCCCCTTGTTATGTCCCAGGACCCCGTCGGAGGCCCCCGAAGCCCTCCAAGATGTTTCCTTGGGGGGGCCCTGGAGCTGGAGCTGGCCTGCGGTCTGAGGTGGCCCAGCACTGGTTCCGACCCGCAGGCATGCAAGCAGTGGCGAAGCGTCCTGGCGTGCCTATAGCCCTACCAAACAATGTTCGAAGAACCTTTTGTGGTTCCCAGGAAATGTTCGTAGAAGATTTGTGGTTGAGGCTGTCTTGTTTAAACACATCGGGTTAATGTTCTGAGAACATTGTTTCTGTTCTTAGAACATGTTTGGGTTCTAAGAGCATTCCGTGGTATGACTATAGGAATGCCGGGACGGTCGGTCCCTGCTCAAGGTATGGCGGGCAGGTTCGAGGGATTGTCGGGGGCGGCCAAGAGGGGGGTGATGACAAGGGAGGGGGATATCATGGCGTGGGCCATGATACTCCCTCAGATTTCATGGCGTCTCCTCGTAGTTCATGACGTCCATGGCCCCCCCCCCCCCTGGGCCGCGCACATGCCGCCGGCCATGATTTGCGCCCTCTCTTGGACGCCCCCCTCTGGGACGCCCCCGAGGGTAGGATGTTTCTGTTTGTATGGGCTTTTTCTGCCTCCCGGGGGCGCTTTCGGGTCTCAGGAGTGTCGAAAACGGATCTGGGGCGAAAGCCTCCTCCAGCTGGGCCCCGGGGGAGGTGGGGGAAGTGACCTGGAGCGGCTTTGGATTCACCCCCCCGCCTGGCCGATGTTTCTGGGGTCGCAAGTGGGCTTCAGATCTCCAGCGGCCTCTCGCCTAGGATCCTCCCAGGTCTCACGTATCCGTGGAGGGCCTCTCACCGGGCCCCGCCAAAAAGCCTTTCATTGCACCACGTCGTCGGTCCGGCCAGGGAGCCCAGGACATCAGCGCAGGAAGTTTGCCGTGTATGGTTGCCAAGAAACAATATGGGTTTCGTTAAAACGACGCGAAGATCGGGACAACATCAGATCGGGATAACTCGAAATCTCTGAGAATCGGCGGGTTTGGAGGATGTATCGGGCGCCGCGGCCGCTCCAGAGCGTTCCGGAACGCTCTGAGAGCGTTCCGGAACGCTCTGGAGCGATTTATCCCGATCTTAGCCCTGTTTTAGACAGTTGAGGGAACCAATTAGTGGACACTCCTCCTCCCTCTCAAGCTCAAATTTGGCACGCCAGGGGGGAGACTGCGGTCGAAGTGCAACTCGTCAGACCCACCGCCAATTCTGAACATTGGGGGGAGGGGGAGACGTTGACCGATGAAAGTGGCATGCGTGTTCGCTATTTTTGTCCTGTGGCCTGGATCCGAGGGTTGCAGGAGGAAAGGGGGCCCGAAGGAGCATGAACGGTGCGCTTCTCACCCCTTTGCGTCCTACGTTTATTGTCACCATTGGCTCAGGCCTCCCAAATGGGGTCCAAGCAGATGGGGTCCAAGGATCGCGCCGCATCGCCGATGCGGCTCGATGCGGAGCCCGATATTCTCCACGCCGACGGCGCCGATGCGTCGCCGCCGTCGCCGATGCATCGGCGATGCGGCGCGATCCTCCGACTACATCAACTCGGATCCCCATTGGGGGCCTCTTCATTCAAAATCCATAGATCGGATGCGCTGCTTTGTCAAAACTACCCTTGTCTCGCTGCTTCTTCGGCCCATCCTGTTGACGTCCGAGGAGCTGTAGATGGTAAGTGGGACTTGCAAGGATCTCGTATCCTTACCTTGCAGCCGTTTGAGCAACACCTGAGATCCTCCCCCTGTTGTCGTCGACGACGACGAGCTCGCGGGCCGATACCTGGCGCAATGCGCTGGAGGAGGAGGAGGAGGAGGAGGAGGAGGAGGAGGAGGAGGAGGAGGAGGAGGAGGAGGAGGAGGAGGAGGAGGAGGAGGAGGAGGAGGAGGAGGCGGAGGAGGCGGAGGAGGAGGAGGCGGAGGAGGCGGAGGAGGGGAGGAGGAGGAGGCGGAGGAGGGAGGAGGAGGAGGAGGAGGCGGCGGCGGAGGAGGGAGGAGGAGGAGGAGGAGAGGAGGGAGGCGGAGGAGGAGGAGGAGGAGGAAGAGGGAGGGAGGAGGAGGAGTGGAGGAGGAGGAAGAGGAGGAGGAGGCGGAGGAGGCGGAGGCGGAGGAGGAGGAGGAGGAGGAGGAGGAGGCGGAGGAGAAGGAGGAGGACGCCCCCCCCCTGGGGGGAGGGGGGGGGGCACGGGAACGGGGGCCGCGCCAGGAGCTGGCGGCGCAGATCTGGAGGGTCGCCCGCGAGCCGCACCGCTTCGCGGGGGCACGCGCCCACGGCAGGGCGCAGTCTCGGGGGGCAAACACTGACATGAAGCGCGGATGTCTCGGATCGGCGCTGGCACCACCTGGCGGGCTCAGATAATAGACGTGTATATATATATATATATATATATGTTCAGCTGCATACAAACATATACTCATATATGTGTACACCCATGTATGTATGTGTGCCTATATATAGGTATACAGAATGCCGTCTTTTGTCCTCATAATGGCAGCCAGTTTGGAGCTGGGGGTCTGAGATGGCCCAGGATGGTTCCAGCGATCAGGAAGGGGGGCCAGGTTCGTGGTTTTGGGTTCGAGAAGGCTTTTGGTTTTTGTCTGGTCCCTGGGGGCCGTTTTCGAACCCCAGATTGTTAAAAAAACGGATCCAGGGTGGACAATCGCACCAGGCGGACGCCAGGAAGGGTTTGGGGGCAGATCTTTTAGCGTATTTGCCATTATCCCCCCTTCTTGACAGATTCTCTGTAGGTTTATCCACTTCAGATTGCGCCGCCGCCTCCGATGCCAAGTCAGGATTTGGTGACTTTTTCGTCGGTCCTCGGAAATTTTCCAGCCTGGGGATGCCTTCCAGCGGTCTGGTGTGTTCCGATGTCTGCACGTGTTTTTGTTGCATCTTGTCGCAGCCGATCCGATTCGATTTCGACTCCATGCAGCCCAGTGTGACCCACGTTTCGACTAGATCTGATATCTCGTTTCGATGACGATTGATCCTGACTCCCAGGCATGTCCTGCGATCTGGGTTTCAGTGTCCAGGGCCTTCTAACGGGCCTCGGGGGGGGAGGGGGAGGTGGAGCCATCCCTCGTCGCCACGGCTGGATTCGACTCGGAGGCCTGGTCAGAACGCGCCCCCTTACAAGTCTAGGAGTCGGCTTAGAGGGAGGAGGAGGAGGCTGAGGGTAGAGAAGGAGCAAACGCCCTCCCCCATCTTCCCCTCTTCCACTCTCTTCCGCTCGCTCTCCCCTTCCCCCCTCCTCCTTAGGATGTAACTCCTGGGAGGTTCAACTCAGCACCGGCGCTGGCACAGCCGTGGGCGGAACCGGCCTGCTCCCATGCAATCCGGCCCAACTCAATTCATATCTGGCTGACTCCCATCGATTCGGGCGGAATCCCATCCAGCCGAACATTCGGCTCCGTGGCCTCTCACCTCTGGCTCAACAGCCCCCACACGAAGACCTCCCAGGAGATGCCTCCCAGCCACTCCCTCCCTCCTCCCTCCTCCCTCCTCCCTCCTCCAGCCTCCCTCCTCCCTCCTCCCTCCTCCCTCCTCCCTCCTCCAGCCTCCCTCCTTCCTCCTCCAGCCTCCCTCCTCCCTCCTCCCTCCCTTCCCCTCCTCCCTCCTCCCTCCTCCCACCTCCCCCCTCTCTCCCGCCCCCTCCGCCGCCCGACGGGATCCCAGGCCGAGGGGCGGCCGTGCCCAAAAGCCTCGGCGCGGGCGCGGTGTGGCCGCACTCCGCCGCGGCAGAGCACCCAGCCGCTGGCCCCCAAGGGAGGTGGCCGTGGCATCGCTCGGACGTGTGCGTTTTTTCCTCGGCGAGGACCATCGAGGAGCATCCTTGATCATTTGGCGAAAACCACGCACGAAGCCGAAAGAAACACAGGGAATGGACGTCCGAGCGATGGCCAGTGGCCGTGGCGGACCTGCTCAGCCCCTTCCCGCAGCTGAACACGACGCTGCTCATCGGCGGCAACAGCCACGCGAAGCAGGAGAGAGACGCGCCCCTCGGGGCCCCGGGATGCCCCCTCGAGGCGTGGGGGGCGGAGTGGCCCCCGGTCGGGAGGCGGTCCTGCCGGGAGGCTCGGCCTCGCGCGTGCGGGCCCGTCGCGGGGCCCTCGGGCACCGTCGCACGGCAGAGGGGCCCGATGAGTGGAGTTATACCGGCCTCGAGCTTATCCCTATCCCTAAGATTGACACGCCAAAAGGCGAAGTCAGTCTTAGGGATTCGCCCTCAAAAAGTAAGGGAATCCCCAAGATTGGCACCGTGATGAGGAGGTGCCCAGCATAGGGATAGGGGTATGTTCCAGGCTGGTAAACAATGAGTGGAGGCTCCCCCACACACCCCAAACTCGAATCGGGGGTGGACAGACCTCCTGCCCCGACACGTCGATGAAGGAATGGGCCGTTCTCGGTTCGCAAGTCGAGGGCGTTGCGGCCGTCGTTCTTGCGGGGCCGGGTGCGTCGGTTTCGGCCCTGAGCCGTTTTCTCTGAGGGGAGGTTTACTCAAAAAGGGTTTGTCCACCGCCGATCGAAGTTGGCACGCGCGGGGAAGACTGCAGTCGAAGTGCAGCTCAGTCAACCCGCCGCCGACATTGATCATTGGGGGGGGCATGGACACATGGTCGCGGCATGGGTGTTCGCTAATTTCCTCCGAGGCCTGTAGCACGAGTATCGAGGCTTAGACGAAAGGCCAGAACGTGTTGAACAACTACTCTGGGGGGGGGGCATTCTGGGATGTGTGGCTATTGATTCGTGTGCCATCCCTGTCGTTCTGCTCCGCTGCCTGCTGCTCCTCCCGGCCCTCCTGTCCCCCCGGGGCCCCTCCCCTGGCTCTTCAGAGCCTCAAGCGTCACACGGCACTCCTTGGGTCGGGCATGTCCTCCGACGGGCATGTCTTCCTACAGGCGAAGATAGCCAAAACAGATTCAAACGTGGACAAGAACAATCAAATTATCGTCCCCAGACTCGAGGCTGTCCGCGTGCGGCGTCTTCGTCTCCGCCTCTGGCCCACGGACCCTCGCGGGTCGATCCAGGTCGGGGAGTTTCAGGAGGGAAAGAACACACAGACACAATCGATCGTCGATCCAAGGAACATATGGGAAAACATGGGACGTGGGGGGAAGACACAAGCCAAGCAAATATGAAACAATAAGAGGAATCCTGTTGTTTGTGTGTATTAGTTTGTGTGTCCCTGGGCCCCTTCAGAGTTGCGGGCAAGACTTGCAGATTGTGGACGTTCTTGGAAAGGGCGCCACGAGGCCGAGGCGCGCTGGATACAGGTAAACATTGAGCCTCCAGGGGCCATGAAGGGCTGCACGGGGCCTGGTATTCATCCATCACCGAGCGCGTTCCACTACTTGCAAAGTGCCTACTCGCAAACGTCAGAAAACACATGTCTGCTCTGATGTAGTTAATCGTACATCCCCCGCGGGGGATCCAAGCCATTTGCGAGTAGTTACTTTGCGAGTAGTGGAACGCGCTCGTCTAATCCATATCCAGTGCGCCTCTGACTTTCGGTGAAGGGAGCCCGAAACTCCAGGAGAAGTCTTGCCCGCAGGAGTGTCGCGGGACGATCGAGTCGAGGGGTCTGGACGTAACTGGGGCCATTTTAGGGCCCCTCTCGGGCCTCGCTTGAGGCTCTCCTGGATCCGTCCTGGAGCCTCCAGAGCCCATCGGAAGCGAAGAGGGGAGATGGCACAAACATTGCTGCCCCTCTACGTTTTAGATGGATGTTGGCCCCTCGGAGGGGTCCTTGGGAGGCTCCGTTGCTACCTGGAGTCGTCTTGGGAGGGTGATGCGGCCTCCTGGAGGCAAGCGCTGGGAGCTGTATCAAGCTATCTTTGACTATGATATGCTATCTTGGAGGCCACATTGGCCTAGCTGGAACCATCTCGGGCCATCTTGGACGTTTTCGCTCGCGAAACCTCCCCTCCCGACCCAGGGAGAGGAGGCAGGACGCACGCGCCCCCTGTCCCAGGAGTTCGCACGCGCCCCGCGCGCAGGCATTGACGCCACCATTGTCTAGCCCTCCCCACGAGTTGTACATCAGGAACAACTGCACGAAAGTTAGAACCTGGAGGAACGTAAACATGGAGAGGAAGAGGAATCACAAAAAGCCACAAGAGAACATCGGGACGAAGTCGCTCGAAAGTCCAAGGCCTGGTTCAAAACCTCGCAATCCTCTGCCATCTCTGGCATGGCAGCGAGCCCCATCCGGCAGACAGCCACGTGGAGCTCCGCGCTGCGTGCCGGGATCGCGTGAGCCGAGAGGGTCCACGACGGGCAGCGTGTCCCTGGCATCGCTCGGACGTGTGTATTTTTCCTTCGGCGAGGACCATCGAGGAGCAACCTTGACCACTTGGCGAAAAAAACCACGCACGAAACCGAAACAAGCACAGGGAAAGGACGTCCGAGCGATGGCCAGTGTCAGCGACGGGCGGAGAAAGTCCACGGCCCAGTTCAGACGCAAGCCGGGCATGCTCCTGCTGCGAGCGGTACCCGTCCCCGCTCGCACCTGCGCCCTGCCCCTCCGTGGAGCTCGGCAGCTCCTCGCCTCGTCCCTCGGGCCTTGGTCACCTCCGCCTGTCTACCTCGCAGCGCGTTCCGCTGCCAGGCGTACCGTCGGGGCCTTGAAGAAGGAACGCTTTTCGTTGTGGAAGGGGCTCCGTGTTCCTTAATTGTTTCACATGCCTCAGGAATTCCTTATGTTTTCGATGGGAAATCGAAGTTCAACTTATGGAAAAAGGGACCTCGTTCCTTATTTAGGGTTCCTTAGGTCAACGCCCCGACTGTATACAGTCGGCCCGCATTGGTAGGTCGACCCTGCCAGCTCAAGGGTACCCTTGTGTCCTGTGCCTCGCGACACGTGCCTTCTCACACTCCTGTGGCGATGTGGCCCTCGAAAGGGTCTTGTGTCCTCTCGCGTGTCCTGTCCAAACAGGGCCGACTGTACAGGTGTTCCGTCACCGAGTTCGGTCTCGCTGTCGCAGCCGTCCGGCTGGCGCGCAGAAGACGGCGGAAGAGCGCCAGAGACCGCCGAGGGCCGCCGACGACCTCCGCGAGCCGATGGGCACCGAAGGGCCCATGAATTCGGCGGTCCCCAGAGAGAGAAAGAGAGAGAGAGGGGGAACGAGAGAGAGAGGAAGAGTGAGAGAGAGAGAGAAAAAGAGAGAGATAGAGGAAGGGCGAAAGAGAAGGACAGACGAGGAGGACGAGGATGATGATGATGATGATGATGATGATGATGATGATGATGAGGAGGAGGCGGAACAACGCAACATCCACGAACCTGATGTATGGCCAACGTCAAATAACGAGGAGGAGGAGAAGGAGGAGGAGTCGGAAAAAAGAGGAGGAGGAAGATGAGGAGGAGGGGGAGGATGGTGATGATGATGCTGATGATGATGATGAGGATGAGGATGAGGATGATGATGATGATGATGATGATGATGATGGTGATGATGCTGACGATGGTGATGCTGATGGTGATGATGATGATGTTATGATGATGTTATGATGCTGTTGCCAATTATGATGCAGTTGCTGCTGCTGCTGGTGACGATGATGATGATGACGATGATGATGATGATGAGGATGATGATTATGATGATGACGATGATGATGATGCTGATGATGATGCTGATGATGCTGATGATGATGATGATGATGATGATGATGACGATGATGATGACGATGATGATGCTGACGCCGATGCTGATGCTGATGCTGATGCTGATGCTGCTGCTGATGTTGATGCTGATGCTGATGCTGATGATGAGGATGAGGAGGAGGAGGAGGAGGAGGAGGAGGAAGACGAGGATGAGGAGGAGGAGGAGGATGAGGAGGAGGAGGAGGAGGGAACGTGTGGCCTCTCTGCGACCCTCCTTTGAGGACGAGGCCCTCAAGTTCGACAGGCCGGTGGTGGTTGTCGGTACACCTGGGCGCATCCTCGACCATTGCGAGGACCCCGCCCCCCCCCACCTTCCGTTTGTCGCCGGCGGGCAGAGGAGGAGGCGGAGGAGGAGGAGGAGGAGGAGGAGGAGGAGCAGGACGAAGACGAGGAGGATGATGAGGAGGAGGAGGAGGAGGAGCAAGACGAGGAGGAGCAAGACGAGGAGGAGGAGGAGGAGGAGGAGCAAGACGATGATGAGGAGGAGGAGGAGGAGGAGGAGGAGGAGGAGGAGGAGGAGGAGGAGGTGGAGGACAGGCAAGAGGAGGAGCAGGAGGAACAGGAGGAGGAGAAGGAGGAGGAGGAGGAGGAGGAGGAGGAGGGGGAGGGGGAGGGGGAGGGGGAAGTGGAAGAGGAGGAGGAGGAGCATGAGGAGGAGAAGGAGGAGGCTGCGGACCTCCCTCGGGCTCGAACATGCCGAGGATGCCGCAGCCTGGCTGGCCGCCGAACTCGCCGGCTAGGCGGCTGCGTGGCGCTGCTGGAGGCGTGGCTCGCCGGCTAGGCGGCTGCGGGGCGCTGCTGGAGGCGTGGTGGTGCATGGCTACTGGTTCGCCGCGGAACTCCTCGCCAGCGTCGCATTCTCGGCGGTGAACAGGGGGGTGGCTCGTGCCCAGGCACAGACCACGCCGCCACCCGAGGGGGAAGAGGAGGAGGGACGCGAGGCCGAGGCGCGACCGAATCACGGGAGCGCCCGACAGAAGAGGGGTTGGGGCGAAAGGCCCCTGACATTCCTGGGCGCGCGGTCGCGGGCCTGCTCGCCCACGTCCGCGCGTTCCCGCGGCTCGCCCGCGAGGCGGACGCGGCGCGGGCGGCGGGGGGCCGCTGACGACGCCGACGCAGCCGCCGACCGATCGCCTGCCGCCGCTGCGATCTCCTGCTCCTCCCCACTCCTGGCCCCCTGTAAGGGCGGGACATGAGGAGGAGGATGATGATGATGAGGAGGAGGAGGAGGAAAAGGAAGGGGAGGAGAAGGAGGAGGAGGAAAAGGAAGGGGAGGAGGAGGAGGAGGAGGAGGAGGAGGAGGAGGAGGAGGAGGAGGAAGAAGAGACCGCCGCACGCTCGCGCTCCGAAAGAGACGACGACGGCGGCGGCCTCAAGGCGCGGGCATCTGACGCCCCAGGGGGGATGAGGAGAGGTTCCCTCGTTCGAGGGTGCAGGCCTTTCAAGGCCCCGGAAACCTGGACCTCCTCGTTGGCCCTGGTCGACACAATGTTGGAGCCGCCGCCACAGGCCCGAGCCAGCTTCGGGTTACGGCCGTGGTTAACTATGAACGCACCACAGTCAAGACACATCGAAGCTCTACCGTGCCGCTCAGCCTCGTGAGCTCGCGCACGGGAGGCTTCCAGCTCCCGCCCCACCACCCCCACCCCGTCACCCAACGAAGGAGGAAGGGGAAAAAGGATCGAGGCCATCGCTTACCAGGGCCTCCTCGAGGCCTGGCGTCGCTCTGAGCGGCTCGAAGGATATCTGCGGGCGCACACTCGGTGGGCAGGAGGGCCTTCAAAGAGAAACGCGTGCGAGCAATGTGGTTGCATCTAGCGCATCTGTGCTCCCGTGCGTTCGCAAGCCCAAACTTCATGAGCAGTGACAGTTAGCAAGTCGAGCACACTCTTGACAACAGGGGTGCTGCCTGGTTCAAAGGTACCGAGAGCAAAGTTGGGCCGCCTTCTAGGCCACCGCTTGGACCATCCAGGCAAAGGCCTTAGTAGAGATTTTAGAATTCTGCAGCTTGCGCTTATGCAAACACAGCAAAACACACAACCCAGGCCACCTCATGACGACGCGCCCCGCACTTCGCGAACAGATCCGCCAAACGGTTGCCAACAAACTTCAGACAGCAGGCCGACTGGTCCGCAAGGATTGTTTCGGTCGGCCTGCGGGGCGGGACACGTTCAAAGGTGGGAGGACGCTCGCACACATTATACAGGGTGGGAGCTCCAAACGCTGGCGTCGGTCGAAGCAGGGCCTTCATTGTGCTTTCCCCACGGGCTGCCATCCTGGACGAGCGAAAGATGGCAGCTAATCTCAAGCGCTGGCTTGTTAGCAACCTCGAGGCCCTTGAGCGTAGCATAATACCCAACCCTAGGACAAGCCTGGGCGAGGCCCCTACATGGCACGGAGGATGTTACCCTCCGTGGAGACCTCGACGGCAGCCCAGCCACACAGGGCCAGGCCCCGAGACCCTGGTGCCGAGCCAGATTCATCGGCGTAGATGATCCGCCTCCAGACTCCGCGCCGGTCCCCCCCCGCCCGAACACCTCGAGGGTTGGCTCGACATCCGAGGGGGGACGGCGGCGACGGCAAAGGCCCCGTAGGACAACGTGAGACACTCCACACCTACAGCACCGCGGGCACCGGCACCAACCCGTGCTCCAAAGCCTCGTCGGGCACGAATCCGGCTTCTTGTTCGCGGCTGTCCTGACGCATCCCAGGGCAATCGAACCGCCACTGTGCGCGCGCGTGCCTGCAGCATTCGGGCAGGAGGAACACATGTCCGACGCTCTCCTCTGACGTGCGTGCAGCCGCTGCGGGGGCCGGCGGGCAGCGGCCAAAGAGCGCGCGGAGTGCGCTCCCGCGGGCGGGACTGCTACTCGCCAGGGCAGAGGCGCGCGTGGCCTGAGGCCAACAGGATTCGCCCAGCACTGTCTGGGAAATCCGTCAACATACGTTGCGCCTGCCACCGCTGCAGTCCCTCTGCGAGGGAACGTCTGACGTCAGCAGGGCAGGTGCGCGCCAGATCAACATGCCTGCCTATATCGTCCACCAACTCTCTGTACGAGGGCATAGACCACCCGATCCTGAGCAAGGTGAGAAAGATCGACGACATGGGGCCGCGAGCTCCAGTCCAAGTCACGCGGCGAGAGAACCTAGATCGGACCTGCTCCTGGGCACGACGCAGGCGGCTTGGGCAGACGCGCGGATCCCATGTCCGCGCGGCGCATCTGCACGCCAGGGGGATAGTTGCATCAGTTCGGGGATCGTACCTGGAACTGTTCTGGGTGGCGGGGTGGGGCGTCAGGCAGCACGTCGGCTTCGCCCCGGCAGCCCCCCCCCGGCAGGGGCGCGCAGGGCGCAGGGCGCAGTGTCGGATAGCCCTGACGCGCCAGCGCCGTGTCCAGCCGACAGCATCGATCTTGTGCGCCATAGGCCCTCCGCGTTACATCCCACCGCGAGGCTGAGCGTCATGAGCTTGGCCTTGCGCTTACAAGCTTCGCGGGCCTTGGTGGCCTCCTGGGCCCTCTGGGGACGGGGGCCGCGCATTTCGCGCCCGAGGTTCATCGCGGCCTTCTTGGAGCCTAGCTTCAGAAACAAACGCAACCAGCAAAACGATTCCTGGCGCGAGTCGTGCTAGCCACACACCGCCCTTGGGGGATTGGAAGAACAGCGCCGCGGACTTCTCGTCAGCGACGAAAGCGCGCGCAGCTGCATGCAGCCCCGAGACGCCGCCTCCCCCGCCCGCGCCCCGAGCCCTCCCCCGCCCCCCCGCGCTCTGGAGGCTGATATCATGAGCGCGCGGGGGCGAACGTTCGGAACGGCATCGGCGGCTCGCGTCAGGCCCGCGGTGCAGGAGCACCATGGGGCGCCGACCAGCCCGCCGAGATGCCCCGCGGCGAGACCGCCGCGCAGCAGAGCCCACCGTAGGCCTTGATGGCCCGCGGCTGCACGTAAGTCTGCATCGGCATCCAGCAGAGTCGCATCGGGAAGCGGGCCGCTCTCTCGCCTCCTCCAGTAATTTGCCGCGCTCGACCGTCACGTAACACTTCATCGTGTCCAGAAATGCGCGCAGCGCGTCTTCGTCGTGCTCGTGCCCAATCTCCGCCTCCACGTTCAGGCGGAAAGCGCAGTCGCTCGAGGAACGCCCGGCGCCCTTGCCCCGGAGGGGCTCGGATTGGTCTGCGTTGTGCCGCGGCGATGCCAGGGGCCGCGTGACGCGCCCCCGTGCCCGAAGAAGAGCGTGACACAATGCCATGAAGCGACTGTTTCCAGGCTCCTGCTTCCTCCTTCCTCTTCTCTACCTAATTCAAGCTTCGCGCGGCCCGCTTAGCTTCGACCGGAAGAGGTGCGCTCTCGACCCGCGGATCAAAAAAAAATGTTTCCAGGCTCCTTGGGGATGCGCACTGTCCGAGTGACGCTCTTCACTTGCGGTCGCTGGAGTACTTCTTCGCATGTGGACAACAGCAGCACCCGTGCACGTGGCCCAACGTCAATGACGTGCCACAGAGTGCACTGCTGGAGTCGAAATTGACCAGCTCCCGCCCGCCAAGGAAAAGAAAACACAGCCTGCCTGACCATACCCACTGAAATTCGAGGACGTGCCTCCCACATGCTCGCGCCGCCAGGACGCTGCAGCGACCGCTGGTCGTGCCAACCCAATGCGTTATCCCAGAGGCGCATCGACTTGTCGGCCATAACGCACGGCTGAGCATCGCCGCTTGATAACATACCCCAGACAAGAATCTCCAGCGCAGCCTTGGCCTTGGAGAAACAACGTGCCTGACCAGCACAACGATCGAAGGAGTTCTCGGCCCATCTCTTCCACTGCTCCAGGCCACGCTCGCCCCATGCATCCTGCACCTCCTCGGCCCTGCCAGGGATCAAATCCACGCTGTCCTCCACATGCGGGCCCGAAAACTAGACCATTCCTTGTTCCGAGAAAAAATGCAACGGTTGGCCCCAAGGATCAACGCACTGAATGGCCGCGGAGGAGTTGATGCGTTCACAAACAGCCACGTGCCGAGCCAGCTTCTTGATTGACAAGGGAGACTCCGCATTTGAGACTTCGCATTTAACCCGCGCCCCGCAACAACAAGCTTGGACATCTGATGACGAATAGACTGCCCCACCCTGCGCGCGCGCGCCTTGCCCGGCGGGCCGCCACCGCCCAAGCGTGCCCCTCTTGAAAATGAGCGGGGGGCCGATTGGTTATCGGATTTTCCAGCTTCGAACGCTTGTAATCGACCTGTACATGGAAACACTGGCTGGCTGCGACGCCTTTGACCTCGTCGTGGCGCTCGCAAGTCTCCTGCCCAAAGGTTCTCAGCACAACATCCTTGGCTGTCTGAAGTGACGCCGTGCCGCTGGCGGCCTTGAGAAGGAGGAGAGGCGCGTGCCGGTCGGCGGGCCGTCGCGAACACCCGAGCACAGGCCCACGCGTCACCAGATGGGTTGCAGCGAGCTGCCTCACCCACAGTTGTCGCTCATGACCACGCACTCCCGGGGCCACGGGCGCACGCGGAGAAGGTGCCCGCGTCCTCGGTGGCAGCAGGCGGGTTGGTTTTTGTTGGCAAGCAGCAGCTCCGAGACCATGAACAGGTCAATCAATGCGACTGCCAGGGAAAGACTGCCTGCGCGCAGTGTCTCGATCGTGATCCCTCCCCCCGCCCAACGCATACGGACAGGGCAGATCACCCAGGTCCTCGTGCTTCATGTTGAAATCCCCGCAAATCAGCTAAGCATCCACGGGCCGTGATCCTGGCGGCGTATGCTGCCACCTCATGCAATATGTGCACGCTTTGCGGTGACGAGCCCTCTCCGACTTCTGTGTAGATCGCGATAGTGATTGGGCCCCTTGGGAGTCCCCAGTGAGCGCGAGCAGCCATCGCCATGCCTGGACCCAAGACAGTATCAGCGCGACACGGCGGCACCGTGATCGTAGCCCTGCCACGAGAGAAGTCCGCTGAGCCACATGAGTAGCCACCTCTGTCAGGAACTTCAGGAGCCACCCAGTCACCATTCCAGCCTTTTATCCGCAGCGCGCCGAGGAGGAGGAGGAGGAGGAGGAGGAGGAGGAGGAGGAGGAGGAGGAGGATCGATGCTCCAAAGGGCGCTGGTCTCTGCCTGTCTACCCGTCAGCGCATCGCGGGAGCTCGTGACTGACTGCGCCGGGGCCGGGCGGCGTCAGTCTTCGGTGGTTCCACTGTGCCGTCTTGCGCGATTCACCACCCACCAAACGACCCCAACCCAACCCGAAGGCCTCAATTTTCCCTCCATTTCCAGTGGGGGGGGTCGGGAAACATAAAAAACACATGGAACCCGTAACCCCCCCCAACCCGGAATTCGGGTCAGATTTAATCGCTTCGCTCATTCCGCCGGCCCGTATTGTGCCATCGCAGGCGTTTGCTTGCGCGTTCGTGGCCTCTTGGAGCCTCGGTGGGGCCGTTTGGGGCCTCTTGGCGCCTCTTTTTAGGCCTCTTGGAGAACTCGGGAGGCCTCCAGGGGGCCTCCTGAGCTCTCGTGACGGTCTCTTGGGGGGCTTTCGGCGGGCTCTTGGCGGTATTTGTTGGTCCTCTTGGGGCCTGGGGCCTGACGTTGTTGGTCCTCTTGGGGCCTCACGGGAGCTTATTGGGGCGTCTTGGGGGTGTCTTGGAGAGTCTCTTGGGGCCTCTTTCGGGGTCCTGGGCGCCTTCTGGGGCGGAGGGCTCGATTTTTCAGTTCTCGGTTCCCTTCTTGAGCCCCTCTTGGGCCCGTCTTGGGGCCTCTTGGTCCGCCTTGGGCAGCACTTGGGCCGTCTGGGGGGCGCTCTTGGGCCGCTCCGGGGCCGTCTTGGGAGCCTCGTGGGCCGTCTTGGAGCAGTCTTGAAGGCCTCTTGGGCCCTCTTGGAGCGTCCGGAAGCGAAAAGGCCAGAACGCAAAAAAAACATCGAAAAAACCAATGACAATCAACGATTTTGGCAACTTGGGGCCCTCTTCGGAGGCCTCTTGGAAGGCCCTTGGAGCGTCTTGGAGGCCTCTTGGGCTGTCTTGGGGCCATCTGGGGCGTCTTCGGGCGATCTTTGGCCGTCTCGGGCCTCTCTTGGACCGTCTAGAAAGCTTCTCGGGGCCCTCTTGGACCGATCTGGAGCCCTCTTGGACTCCGAAACAGAACTCCGGCATCTCTGGCCCGACCTTGCCGGGACCTTGCCGGGGACTTGCCGGGGACTTGCCGGGACCTTGCCGGGGTACTTTTCGTCCGAGGACCCCCAGGGGCCGCCCCGCGCGCGCGAACTAGAAATACTGTTAACCAGGTACCGGAGATCTTAGCACGCCCTGGCCCGTTGGGCCGGCGAATTCGGGTCTTCGGGTTGGGTTGGAGTGGTCTGGTAGGTAGTCAGCGATGGGGTCCCAAGAACGAGGTGCTTTAAACAGCGCAAGTCCGCCCTTGGGACCCCTTCCTTTCCCCAGGCCCCCATCTCTCAGAACCCCCTCTCTGGACCACCGGAGTTTGGCTGGGCACTCGGGAGGCTCCGGGGCATGCGGGGGCGCCTGTCGGTTCTCGACACGTGGGGGCGCCCGCCTGCCTCGAAGATCCAAGCGGCACGCCGCGTCCCGGTGGCGAGGAGCAGAAGGATCGGAGCCGTCGTCGGTCGCGTGGGCTTTCCGTGGGGCTCTCTTTCAAGCAGTGGCGCGGCGTCCTGCTTGCCAACGGGCCCACCAAAGAGTGTTCTAGCCACGTCGTGTGGTTTGCACAACATGTTATCAGGGCGCTTACGGCTGAGACCGTCTCGGTTAGATACATCGGTTGCTGGTCTGAGTCCATTGTCTCTGCGGTGCGAACATTATTGGTTCAAGAGCAGGTCATGGTATGTATACAGGATTGCAAGGATGGCCGGTCCCTGTTTTGATTTGTTGGCTGGACTGGAGTGAATTGGAGGCCTAACAGTCTGATCGGAAATGAAAAGGCGAGAAGGTCCAAATCATGAGTGTTTTGTTTTTTGATCAGCGCTTTGGGCCTCTTTGGAGTTTTTTTTTTGGGGGGGGGTCGGTATGCTAGATGCTACATTGGGCCATGTTTGATCTTGTTTTTCCATTGCGTATGTCAGTTTGAATCGTCAAGGGTCACCTTGGTCGCTCCGACCCGTCGGCGCCACCCCCCAGGGAGGGGTGTAAACTTCCAGTTTGGGGACGAGATCGTGTAGGAAACGGGACGAGACGATACGTTGCACCACTTGCGCCCTGGGGGCTGGTTGCACCAGATGAGGGACCCGGGCAGTCGGGATAGGTTTTTGGATTGGCGTCAGCAACCCGCCACATCTTTGGCCATAGGAGAAGCTAGGAGGAAGAGGAGGAGGATGAAGAGGAGGGAGGAGGGTGAGACGAACAATGACGAGGGACGGCGATGCCGAGGAGGAGGAGAGGGGGAGCAAAAGGAGAGGCGGCCACCTGAGGTTGGCGGCCCCTCCTCTGGCTTCGTTGGGCGTGTGCATGCCTCCCCCCGCCGGGGCCTTCAAAAGAATGCACAAGGCCTCCTCTTTGGATCCTGCGTTTGGGGCACGTCCCGGGCAAAGAGGAGGAGAGTTCGCATCAGATCTGCTCGGCGCCCCCGGGCTTCAGCTCGCTTCTCACTGTGGGTACTCGAGACTGCTCGCTAAACACTCCTGCCTTCCCTTCTCCTCCTCCTCCTCCCTCCTCCTCCTCCTCCTCCTCCTCCTCCTCCTCCTCCTCCTCCTCCTCCTCCTCCCTTCTCCTTCCTCCTCCTCCTCCTTCTCCTGCTCCTCCTCATCGCCCGCGGCAGCGCGCGGCGTTTGGGAGAGGGGGGAAGCGATCCCCTCGGCAGGAGGGCCGGCTGGTCTTTGAGGCGCTCAAGGTCGTGGTGTTCGACGAGGTGGACGCGCTGTTCACGTCCTTGTCGCGGAAGGACCACTTGCAGATGCTCGTGGAGAGGACCTAACGGGAGTTCGAATCGCTGTTCCTCCTCTTCATACAAGCCATCCTCGCCTTCCGATGGTGTAATGAAAGCGAGGGACATGCACCCAGATTGACATCATGGTCCGAGGGCACGCCAGGAAAGGTCGGGGGAGTAACGGTATGGGTACTTCTTGGTTCCCTTGAATCGTTCACCGTCCTTTGGTGGTGCGTTTGGTTATGAGGAGGCTCCCGCGTCCTTGGCGAGGCAGGGTTGCCGCAAGGATTGGCCCTCAGGGCGCCAGCACCCAGAGCAAGAAGCGGATCGGCTTGTTTCTTGTTCTTGTTGATTTGACCAGAAGTTGGCACGGAAGTCGCAAGCCGACTGTTCGCGCAACTGATTCTGCAGATTTGACGAACCAGCAACACACACCCATACCCATAGGGGGATCGGAGAGGGCTAGGGGTGCGTGTTGTCGGATGGGGGTCCCCAACGACCTCCCTATGGGTATGGGTGTGTGTGTTGTTCGTTCGTCAAGATTGCCCCCTGCCGAGAAAAAGGACGCACCACAGCCCCGACGACTGGACCCCAGGACCAGGGCTCTTGTCTGACCTGGCCGCACCGCAGGAAGGGCCCCCCTCGCCAGCAGCGCCACCTGCCGCGCGCGGCCTCCGGGGGCGGGCATGGGGCGGGAGCACACCCAGGCACGCAGGCCGCCGCTGTCGCCTCGTGTGCAGTCGACCCGCACAGGAAGGAGGAGCGACTTCTCCAGGGGGGAGGGGGGAGGAGGAGAGGAGGGAGGAGAGAGGAGGGAGGGAGGGAGGAGAGAGGAGGGAGGGGGAAGGGGGAAGGAGGGAGGAGGGAGGAGGGAGGAGGGCACCCTCGCATCCTTCCCCCCTGCGGCCCATCCTTAGCCCCCTCCGCTGGCCGCGCCCCGCTCGCAGGGGGTCGGCATTGCTTTCCAAGGCCCTTGCAGCCTCACCGCGCATCCCTCGCGACGTCTGAGAAGTCTGTTGCGTGCTCGGGGCAGGCGTAGATGACCTCTCAGCAGGCCGGGGGACTTCCGAGCCATCTGAGAAGGCCCGCCCCGCATCGCTTCCCCCCTCGCTCGCCGCCGGCTCGAGAGGCCGCAGGTGGGCCGAGGAGCGCAGGAAGGCAGACCGGCGATGCTCCCAGAACGGTCCGCGGGGCACCCCGAGACTGGAGCAGCGGCAGCGCACCTTGCCGCCTCTGTCCGGCGGCCTTCGGCCCCCCCGCCGCGGTGCCCGGGTGTCGGACCAGGGGATGCCTGAACGCATCTGCGGTTCTCTCTCGCGGGGCACCTCGCATAGGCCTCTCGGGAGGGGACTCTCCGGGGCCTCCCGGGGCCCCTCTCTGGCGCCCGCTGGGGGGGCCCTCTGGGCGCCCTCGCGGGGGGCGCTCGTGGGCCTGGCCTCGGGGCGCCTCTCGCGGGGCCCGCGCCGCGCCGCGGGGGGGGAGCCGCGGCGCCGCGCGCCGTCCTGCCCGCGTGGCCGCCCGCGGCGTGCGGCGTGCGGGCCGAGCTCCCGCGGCGCCGCGCGCGCCGCCCGCCCCCGCCCCCTTTCGGGCGTTGCTAGAAGTGCCCCTGGGCCAAGGTGCCTCCCAGGAATCGCCGGGTAGCCCAGTTGGCCTCCAACGCACCCTTGGCATCGCTCGGACGTGTGCATGTTTCCTTCGGCGAAGACCATCGAGGAGCATCCTTGATCATCTGGCGAGAAACCACGCACGAAGCCGAAAAAAACACAAGGAATGGCGTCCGAGCGATGGCCAGTTCGGGCGTTGCTAGAAGTGCCCCTGGGCCAAGGTGCCTCCCAGGAAGCTCGGGGTGGCCCAAACGGCCTCCAGAGCGCCCCTCACGAGGCCCAGAGGGCCTGCAGGGGGCTCCAAAAGGAAGCGACAAGCTGGGGGCACCTTGGGCCAGGGGTACTCCTCGCAGCACCCGACCCTTCCCGGGGGGGAGAGGGGGGAGGCGTCGTCTCCGCCGCCGCCGGTCGGTCGGTCGGAGGCCGCCGAAGCCAGCCTCCTCCCCCCCTCGCCCGCCTCGCGGGCGGCAGGGCCACGTCGAAGTGCGCGGCGCGGCCCGTGCCCGAGACGAGAGAGGCGCAAGTGCCGCGCTCAGGGGGGGGAGGTCTTTGGGGGGGCGATCGCGCTGTCCGGCGCCGGGGGGCAGGGGTTGGCGGCCCAGGAGGCACGGGCAAGGGGCGGTGTCCAGCAAGAGCAGGCAGGGGGCGGAAAGCCACCGCTTCCTGCTGCTGCTGGTGCTGCTCCTCCTCCTCTTCCTCGTCCTCCTCCTCCTTCCTCCTCCTCCTCCTCCTCCACCTCCGCCCGACGGGATCCACTGTGCCCCTGTCGCTGACGAGGACTGACCTGTGTAGGGGCCCGTCGGGTGCACGCTGTGAAGCCTCTTTGTTGTCGGCGCGTGTGCATGCTCGGGCAGGAGCTGACGCGGCTGCCAGGGGTGTGCACGTGTCGTTGGGTGTAGCATGACCCCGCGGGCGTTGCCAAGGCGCTCCAAAACGATCCGTTCCCATCCGAGTCCCCAGAGTCCTGCAGTGCACAGTCATGCCGCATTGTCAGGGCGAGCAACTTTCCAACGTTGCCCTTGCAGATCCTGCCCCTTCGGCCCCTCCTTCGCGGGCCGCGCCCCGCTCGCAAAGTGTCGACACCTTGGCTCCCGAGGGCCCGTGCCTCCCTCTCGTGCGTCCTCATTCGACGGGTGGACCGTGCGGCCCGAGCCCGCGTCGGCGCGCGCCCGCCCCTTCCCCCCCCCACCCGAGGACCATGGAGGGCACGGAGGCCCCGCCCCCCGGGCCGCCGGCGGCCCCTCCTCTCTCTCATGTCATGCTTCTGGAGGGCAAGGAGAGAGGGAAGGAAGAGGGGGAGGCATGAGGAGGAGGAAAGAATTAGCAGGAGGAGGAGGAGGCGCAGGAGGAGGAGGAGGAGGAGGTGGAGGAATGATGATGATAAAGATGAGGAGGATGAAGAGGAGGCGGCATGAGGAGGAGAAGGAGGAGAAGAGGAGGAGGAGGAGGATGAGAAGGAGGAGAAGAGGAGGAGGAGGATGAGAAGGAGAAGGAGGAGGAGGCATGAGGAGAAGGAGGAGGCGGAGTTGTTTCACCAGGGTGGTGCCTGCATGCTTACCAATCCTTAACCATTTTCCCGAGTTGCCCCACCTGGCGCACGCGTGCAACAAGATACCATCCGTGCACGAGAAAATCGACCAGCTTGTGACGGTGTCGGGCAATGGCCAGGACTTATTTGTTCTCAAAAGCGCTGGGGGCGTTTTTCGTCCGTTTTGAATTTTTCGTGTTGCGGCCGACCAAGCCATAAAACAACGGTAACCCACAACAAAACACAAATGACATTGGCTGGGCCCACGAGCGAAACACCGGAACCCAAGACAGGCAGAAAAAGCAACGTCAACCCAACACCTACACTACTTGACAGGAACGGGGCACATAAACAACAGCGGCAGCTAAACACAGTTAGAGCACGGATCACAATTCGATCCGAACACGGCGAGACGGCAATCCCAGCACGGAGATAGTGCGGCTTTCAAAACATAAAAAAGGTAGATCTGGAACATTGAATTTGCCCCCATCGTTCAACACTGATCTGATCCTCGATTGCCTGTCCGCCGCGCGAGCCACAGCCCCCTGCTGGAGGCGGCCGGGGAAAGGGCTGCGCGTGCGGCCCACGGCGCACGACGGCGCGTTCTTGGAAGGAGTTGCCGCAGGGCTACGAGGCCAGACAGCGAAGAGGTCCCCTTTGGCACGTGCTACCCGGCCTGGCTCGGGGAAGGGTGGAGGCGGGCGCCCCTCTTCGCAGCCAGGTCCGCTCCACCAGTGCCTGTCTTGCGGGGTCGCTCCTGGCCGACGAGGCCCCCGTGCGAGGCGTGAGCCTTGCCCTCCTAGAGTTGAGTCGGGCCTGTCCCCCTACAGGGGGATGTTCGACGAAAAATGAAAAATACCCCCAAAATGGTCAAAACATAATCCAAAAATAGTCTGGGGACTATTTTTCTAGTATTTTCTGACCTTTTTTGGGGTATTTTTTTATTTTTCGTCGGAAACCCCCCGGTAGGGGGACACGCCCGACTGAATGTTTTGAGTCGGGTGCTGAGAGCATTCGCCATGCTGAGCAGAGTGCCCGCATATTGCTTCTTCGAGCCAGGCTGGCTAGATACCGGAGTGATGAAACTATCAACGACGTTCAGACTGCCGGAAAAGCCTGCGCTGGGCCCACAGGAGCTCGCCGGTGGCCCCGAACCCGCAATACTCTCCAGCCTGGGAGGTCTGCGGGAGCCACCTGTGAACACGGCCCTCGAGTGTGCACAGACGAGAGCCGTTGCTATCCTACGAGCCCCCCAGCCAGCACGACATAACTCAGGGATGGTTTTTTTTCAGCCCTGAACCGTCAAGCAGAGCACCTGGCCAGCTATGGCCGTCGCCTCAGATGCGGGTTCATCACAACCCACCTGGCCACCATGCCGCCTTCCAGGGCCGGGGGAGGGAGCACAGCTCGAGGGCGAGGGAGTACAACAGGCGAGCATACAAGCGTATCGGGATCATCGGGGCGAAGCGCGACAGGACGTTCTTTGATCGACGATTCCATGTTTTCGGATCAAATCTCGCTAACGGCAGGACGGCGCCACATTCGATGGAAGATATTGTCAGACCTCCCGCCCAACCAGCAGGAGATATCGTCCAACAGCTATCTTGCCTCCTGCGCGCGGGGACCTGTCCAGATGTCATTACATGCGAATGATCCGATACAACCCTTCTGGAAGACGTTTCAGTTTTTTGGGAGTTAAATTCCTGGAGAAACGTATCCATACAGATCCCAGAAGCTTCCTGGAGCCCATGATTCTTGGCACTTTGCCTGTGGGCCTGACGTAAGTCACCCTTCCCGCGAAGTGTTTGACGAGCTTGGGGCTGCATGTTGTGAGCCCGATTCGAACTCCTTGTTCCGCCTCCAGCTCCGTGAAACTTCGCATAAGGCCAGCATGTGCGATGCAGAGACGCTCGAGCAGCATGGGTCGGGCCTGTCACTTTACGCCAAGTGAGAACGCCACCTGCAATCAATGGCCGACTCATGCTCGACGCAGCGTACTGACAGGGACGCAGCGTGCTGACAGGGACTGCCAGATCTCCTTGGCCGGCCGAAGCGACAATCCTGGCATCGTATCACAGGTCGCTCTCCAAGATGGCGAGGGGTGTTCCATTTTTGGGACCAGCCGATGGCTGGCCACACTTGCTGAAACACCTCCCGAGGGGTTTGGGTCCAGCGCCGGGCGCACCATGGGCCTCTGAACCTCGCGCGGGCTGGCCCCACAGAGCGGCCCCGAGGTGAGCAAACCCTCGGGGAGATGTCCCCCAAAGAGCTCCCTGAGCCCTCCGAGAACGCGCCTGACCCTATTCGGGAATACAGCATGCGTTCTCTCGCGAGCTTTCCCGGGATGATGTTCTCTTCCTGCTGGCCGCGCCAGCCGTGCCATCGACAGCTGCCCAGGAGGCGCCGTCGCCGCCGTGAGTTCAGAGAACCTGAGTGAGAGACGTGCCCAGTCTAGCAAGGAACGAAGCAACGGCAGCCCTGCCCCCCCGCAGCAGAACAGCACGTGCATACAGATTTGTACATAAATGGATGTACACGCTTTGCTGAGCACGGTGGTGAACTCTTCTGACTACTGTTTGGCTGGGAACTACATGTGTTTATAAGGAACATGATATAATGCCGGACATCGAGTGGGTCGAACATTGGTGTGACGTACGTGCGAACGAATGTAGCTGCCATGGGCAATCCTGCGATTACGCCAGTTATTGAGTACCGAGGGCTTTGGGGCATCGATGCATGCCACCGTACATGTCCCTCACATCCCACAAGACCGTCGCTGAAACCTGTCCCGTTCGAACTCCAATACTGTCGATTACGATTCCTTTCCCGTCCCGAAGCTATCTATTTCTTCGCCCTCCCCCATAGTGGATTGCAACAGTTGCTAAAGAGCCCAATGGGGCAACACCCTCCAGCAGCTTTAGCAAGAAGGGCGAGCTGAAGAAGAGTCATGTGAGACGGCAGCAAACCAGCACTCTCGATGATGGAGTATGCGATGCTGAGACACTCCAGGCACCCGTCGGAAAGACTGGCAGAGTGCCTCACAGCGAAGCCGTCTATACTGATGGCCGCGCGCGTGAAGCAGGACCTCCTGATTTGCCGGACCTCAGCTGGAGGAATGTGAGGGAGAGGGCCCAGCAGTTTGACACGAGAGGGCAGGGGATTTGGGGCGGCTTCCGCGCGCCACAGTCCAGGCCAGCGCGTTGCTCCAGTCTCCAGAGGCGAAGAGCATCTGCAACAGGGTGCCCGCGGCGTGAGAGAGTCGCAGTCGCCTTACATGGTATACACTCCGCCGTCCACTTGTGCCCCCTTCTCCCTCCCTTCGAAGTGCCATCGGGTAGCCGCGCGCGCCGCTCCTGCAAACTTCGATGCCGAACCGAGTCGGCGTATCGATTTCTTCGAGGATGCATTGGCCTTCTCCGGGATCCGCGGCCAGGCCCATGGAGGGCCCGTGGGCGAAGGTGAAAGCCAAGGACTGGCATTCCTCAAAAGCAGCCAGGTGTCCAGAGACCCTCGGAGAAAGTTCCAGGATGCTCGCCCCATGGATTCCGCTCGTCTGCTTTTCGAAGGCGCCCGCTAAACAGGCGCGGAATTCCCGAGACAGCCGTTGGAAAGCAACCAAAACAGGGCTCTGTTCGCTGGGCTCTTTGGCGTCCATCTGCGCGGTGGACACTCCAATGAGACCAGGTGTCGCGCCGCTTGCCCCATGCCGAAAGAGAAGAGGTGCGCCTGCTCACGGCGATCTCCTGCTCCGCGAGGTTCGCAATGTGCGCGCGCAGAGAGCCGAGGGGCCTCTTGTTGAAGCAAGACCCACGGGCCGATTCAGATGCCAGCAGGACTCGGATTCCTTGCCAGGGCCGATAGGTGTTTCCATTGGAAAATTCGGCGGCTTGGCGAAGCTGAGGGCCTCTGGTCTGATGGGCGCCTGTGAAGAGTCAAACTCACGGGGCAATGTGCTCTCATGTCCGAGCCCGCGCTAATGTGATTCGGCTTGACGCGCTTGGAGAGCCCAGGGGGGGGGGGGGGGCAATGAAGTAGTTGCATGAATTGCCTGCAGCGCCCGGCCTCCAGGGTGACGCGCGGCATTTTCCGTGCGAGGCGGTGCCCGAGGGCAGCTTCTCAAGGAACGCGCTGTCTCTGAGAATTTCGGGGCTGACGTTGAAGTCGCGGCTGGCGATGCAGGCGCCTGAAAAAAAAAAACCGAGATGGCATTCCAATAGCTGTCAGAATCGAACTGTTACGCTGAGTCAAACCTTCATTGTCGCGCTGGCAGCTGGACATCAGCATAGTTGGGAAATCCTCCCGGAACTTGGGCCACCCCAGAAAGATCTCCCCCGTCGACGATGCAACGACCGACATCAGGGTTGTGGAATCCCAGTAACTATTTTACCACATGAGCAACTCACCCACTAGCTCCTCCACCTTCACCTCCAGTAGCGGGTCCAAAACTACATTATCCCAGCCGTGAGTTATGCGCCAGCGCGGCGCTTCACCGCGCAGCGCCATAGCGGGTAGTCGACGCTCTTGACTACGCGAGTAGTCGTCGCTTTCAACCAAGGCCGAGCCGAGGACCACGCCGTGACATTTACAGTTCGGACGGAGAGAGAGCGAGGTTGTTGGGGCGCTGGTTGGGGGGCCAATGATTTAAATGCAGGGGGGCCCAGAGGCCTGGTTGGAGCACCGCGCAG